ATCTGAATCACTTGAAAAAAACACGGGGGTGCTTAACTTTTTTCCAGGTGTATATGTTTCTATAATTCAAAAATTTAAAAAGTGAGTTTTATACTTTCCTCTTCATTTTTACTTTTATTTGCACTTCTTTACTTCTTGTCACTTTTCTTCATTGGTAGTTTTAAATTTTATATATTTTAGGTAACATGTGATCACTATATCAGAAAATGTTTAACAAATTAAATATAAATTATCTTGTACTCTTGAGAGTTTCAAATTAATTTTGATTGCAAAATGGCTTGGTCCATAAACACTAATAAGATGTACACAACTATGGTTGTTTATCATAGTTTGGGAATGAAACTTATAACCTTTTGCACAGATAAACTGAATGGACAGGTTAGAAACTCTAGTTTCAGGTATATCTATCCCTAATTATGAGCTAATGGCAAGAGGAAAGGCAGCAAAAGTCAGCAGCACCCACCACCACAAGGGTGTTCTTCAGTGCTTTAAACCATGTAATAGTTAGACTGTCATTTCTATAATGTGTTGATAACTGAAAGTGTGGAGGGTGTTCAGTGGTATCATGTCCAAGCCCCTGGAACCCAAGATACTAAACACTATGCTATGTAATGGTTGAAATACTTCTTGTACAAATTGAAACATATTTAGAAAAACTTCTAATCTGAATGAAATCTTGGTTATTGTAGGTTTACAAACAGGTATTATTTGTATTCTACAGAATATATTATAACAGACTAGGATGAAGATGGTTAATTTGCCTACCCAGCAATTTTCAGAATCTACACGCATACAGTTGAATATATGTCAAAATGACCAAATTATCAATCATGACTTTGGTATTTTACAATTAGCTAGACACTGTTATCAGCTCATCATTCTCTGGGAGATCTATTGTGTATCACTGATTCATCAAGCACTTAACTGACTTATCAGAATTTATGTTCAAAAATATTCTGACTAGAAACTGGTATTAGTAATGTGAAAATCATTTTAAAAAATGAATCAGTTCTAAATATTACACTTAATATCATGAACAACTTTACCGTGGAAATTTTTAAAGTAATTAAAAATCCAACATCTCAGCTAATGATGAGCCATCTTCAAGCCTGAAGGTGGCCCTCTTCTATGGGCTGAAATATCATAATTTTAATTGCTTAAAAACAAACATCTCTTCTGTAAATTTGTTCATGTTATTACAAGTAATGAAAGTGTACTCTCTAGACAACATGTTTAATATAAAAAACTGCACTTTCCATACATTTGAAATTTAATTGTTCCTTGTAGGTAGATTCTCCATTTAATCATCCTCGGTCTTTTACAGAATCTTTATATTCAAGTGAATCATTCTAGCTCCAATTAGGCAAATGAAAAAATAGATATCTGAAACTTTAGACAGAATGTAAATCTTAAATAGGACTTGCTTGAAAAACAAAACGAGCAGTTAGGATTTATTATTATTTTACAAAAAGGCAGGGAGGGAGTTATTTGGCGAAATATTATTAAATAAAAATATAATATAAAGAAACATGCCATACCCTATAGTGAAGAATCTTAGTTTTTAGAACAAGCTAACCAGATATATTCAGAAAGCTGCTATTAAGCATCCAGTGAAGACCATTGATAAAGAAATGAAAAACACAAAATATGTAAAAACACTTATAAGCTCATTAAAAACAAAAAATCATTATCGTTACTGATAAGTACCCATATTATTGTTCAAAACGGAGACAAATGTTGGGTTGAGATTCAAAAAGAAAAATTCCACATCAAAGCAGATAAAACCTCAAAACCAATGAAAGTGTTTATGGTTTTAGCAAAATTTTAAGAAATATTATAGTCACACAAGAAAACATTCCCAAAATAGTGAGTTATATCAATAGAATGTTTCGTAACTTCTTCCAAATATTACTATGCTTTCATGATAGGGAAAACCTAAATTGTAACATTTTCTCAGTTTTATAAAGTCTGACAAAATTCGTTCTGTTTATTGCCCTCTTCTGACATCTAGAAGAAAGATAATGATCTGCATTTGTCATACAGCTTAGCCTATCATCAAATTTTAAAACATGAGGTGGAGCTCTTCAAAAAAAAAAACTTTGAAGGACTTCAAGTCATATTTGTTACACAACAGTATCTATTAAAATAAAGCAAATTCAAAGAATTTCCTTTCATAACTGTTTTAAAATACAGCTACATCTGTCACTTTTAATGTAAATTACCAATGTAAAACGAACTGCATCGAAAATATTTTTAATTACTATTACTTCAAACAACCCACAAAGGATTTCTATAACTATGTTTCTATAATTCAAAAATTTAAAAAGTGAGTTTTATACTTTCCTCTTCATTTTTACTTTTATTTGCACTTCTTTACTTCTTGTCACTTTTCTTCATT